CGTTTTTTTGGGCTAAAATCATTGTTCTCTGTTGAAGCCGGCCTCTTAATGCTAGATAGCAAACACTCAACTGCTTGGATAATGATGGATCACATGAAGAACACAGCTTTGTACTAACACAGGCGGTTGAGTTCTCCATCCTCAACGTAAATTTAGATCATCCTCCCCTTTGTTGAGATGGAAATCAAAAAACAGACTTTGAAGCCATGGCCCAAGATGTATCCAAAGTTGGAAAAGAAGCCTCTGCATCCTCTGTCATGACTGTCCCCCTTTGTTTTTGAGGGAATCGATTCCATTCCAGAAACTCACTTCAGGGAAAAACCACAGTTTCCAATCTGGTAACCAGCCACTCACTTCGACCATCACAAAGGGCCGAATATCCTGCAGGGTGGCCCCAAAGAGGGGGAAAAAAAAGCTTGGACCTCTGAGACCCTAAAGGATGGAGGAAAAATATTTAAATGCATATGGAGGTTTCCTAAGTCTTGGGGGTAGCCCTAGTTTTGCCATCCATTTCTGGGATTTTCCATGAAACCATCCATCCATTTGGAAAGTACCCCCATTGCTATGGAAACCTCTATATAAAACAACAAATTATAGGGATGATATAGGGATGGTATAGGGATTCAGTGGAAATGTCAACGATTTTTTTGGATATATATATATATATATACATGTATATATATATATATGTATATATCTATATAAATATATACATATGTATATATATGTATATATATATGTATATATGTATACATATATATATATATGATATACAGCAACAATTTATGGCAACTCCCATATGGCTCAACAGCTGAGACCGCCTGACCAGACAGCATGGCCAAAATCTGCTGAGGACCTATGGCTCGATCCTGGCCGGGGATCAAACATGATGGACTTCATGGGAATGTTCCATGGAATTTAGCTGACAAAGCTCGAAATGTTGTTGTTTTTGAGTATATCACTTGAAGACTTGAAGGACGCCGGGTTTATGTGGAATCTGGTGGCAAGACGTGGCAATCATGTAGTCAAAGTTATTATAAATTATATTTATCATCAACTTCCAAGTAGGCTCATGGCTATGCCCTCCAAATTGGAGGGACCGGCTCCAAGGGCGATGTCAAAAACCTCAAACTGGGCCATTTACCAATCTCTGTTTCAACCAACATAGGGGCCTTTCTGAATGGAGAAACTGTAGGTGGTTTTCTGGGTGGATACCTCTCTGATCTAAATACTTCACCAAGCTGAGTCATTCCATGCGGTAGTTTTGGGTGTGCTTCCCCTTGCCATCATTCTGGTGACAGAGGCCAGGGATGTTGCTATATTTGAAATCATGAATGGGTGAGTTTGTTGGCCAATCTAGGTCAATATGCACTTGCACCATGCACTTTTCTGATGTGGTGGCTGGATAAGCCACCCTCTGAAGAATCTGAATGTCATTGGGGGCGAGAAACATCTCAAACAGCGATGGAAATAAACAATTAACACTAACTGAAATGACCAAACATCAGCGGTCCATGAAAATCTATGATACGGACAACGACTTTTAAATTATGAAACAATTTGGAACAGTATTATATAGCAATATGTGATGCACATTGGATCTTGTATGATGACCATGGCAAGGGGTAGTGAGTCACCTGCGAAAGATATTGTACCCTCTGGTAAACTAACAGTTTGCTATTGAAAATGGCAATTTATAGTGGGTTTACCCATTCAAAATGGTGATTTTCCATATTTTTGTTAGTTTACCAATGGTAAATGACTTGCAATGACTACAACACGTTGGTAAATAATCCATAGTTCAGACATATCTCATACACAGCTAACCTTAGATATCCTCCGCTCTGATTTTGTTTTTCCCCCGAAATCATGACAAAAGCAACAGTCCATTAAAATTAAACTGTGCAATCAAATTCTAACTATGTGGGAAATGGCTCGAAAAATATGTAAACAAAAAACTGGATGGTTAGGATGAAATATTTTTTAGTACTATGATGTACTTATCTCTATCTATATATATATATATAGGTTTGTCTGAAAATAGGGTATATTCCCAATTATAGCCATTTAATAGGGATAATGATCATTAACCATTGGGTTTAGGGGTACACTATTTTCAGACACACCCATAAATATATATATAAAATGTATATAAAAACAACAAAAAATCACCAATGTTCAGCACATTTTTCTGGCTCCATCGGTGCCTGCAGTGATCGCTGCATCACTGCATTGGAGACCTGCGCGACTTTACGCGCTCCAATTCGGTGGGGATTTCAGTGGTCCTTCCGACGTGTTCGATGACTAAGAAATGTAATGTTGCAATATTGTTGATTTTTTAATGGAAAAAATATGTTTAGATTATTTGTTTTAAGTGTTCTATGTGCTAAACTTAGAACGTGTTTTAGGAATCGGACATATTTATGAGATTGTCACCAGAACAAATTCAATCAATATACAATCTTAAGTATGTTTGATAAAACAAACTTGGAATTTCAAATGTATACTGTATAGCAGTATAGCACAAACATACATGTTATTCGGCTAATCTAAAGATTGTATGTGTTTTCCCCAGGATAAACTGTAGAAACACTGCCCCAAACACCTGCGAAGCCTCCAAAAATTACAACGGAAAGTCATGTGGGAAAATGATGATCCCATTTCTACATTTTGTTAGATCGGAAGAAATATCGAAACAACCAAGCACTATATAAACACATAGTAAACACATAGTAACCACATAGTAAACATATAGTAACCACATAGTAATCACATAGTAAACACATAGTAAACACATAGTAAACACATAGTAAACACATAGTAAACACATAGTAACCACATAGTAAACACATAGTAAACACATAGTAAACACACAGTAAACACATAGTAAGCACATAGTAAACACATAGTAACCACATAGTAAACACATAGTAAACACATAGTAAACACATAGTAACCACATAGTAAACACATAGTAAACACATAGTAACCACATAGTAAACACATAGTAAACACATAGTAACCACATAGGAAACACATAGGAAACTTAAGGAAACACATAGTAAACACATAGTAAACACATAGTAAACACATAGGAAACACATAGGAAACACATAGTAAACACATAGTAAACACATAGGAAACACATAGGAAACACATAGTAAACACATAGTAAACACATAGTAAACACATAGTAAACACATAGTAAACACACAGTAAACACATAGTAAACACATAGTAAACACATAGTAAACACATAGTAAACACATAGTAAACACATAGTAAACACATAGTAAACACATAGTAACCACATAGTAACCACATAGTAACCACATAGTAACCACATAGTAACCACATAGTAAACATATAGTAACCACATAGTAACCACATAGTAATCACATAGTAAACACATAGTAAACACATAGTAAACACATAGTAAACACATAGTAAACACATAGTAAACACATAGTAACCACATAGTAAACACATAGTAAACACATAGGAAACACATAGGAAACACATAGGAAACACATAGGAAACACATAGTAAACACACAGTAAACACATAGTAAACACATAGTAAACACATAGTAAACACATAGTAAACACATAGTAAACACATAGTAAACACATAGGAAACACATAGTAAACACATAGTAAACACATAGTAAACACATAGTAAACACATAGTAAACACATAGTAACCACATAGTAAACACATAGTAAACACATAGTAACCACATAGTAACCACATGGTAAACACATAGTAAACACATAGTAACCACATAGTAAACACATAGTAAACACATAGTAAACACATAGTAAACACATAGTAAACACATAGTAAACACATAGTAAACACATACATAGTAAACACATACATAGTAAACACATACATAGTAAGCACATACATAGTAAACATAGTAAACACATACATAGTAAACACATAGTAAACACATAGTAAACACATACATAGTAAACACATACATAGTAAACACATACATAGTAAGCACATACATAGTAAACACATAGTAAACACATAGTAAACACATACATAGTAAACACATACATAGTAAACACATACATAGTAAACACATACATAGTAAGCACATACATAGTAAACACATACATAATAAACATAGTAAACACATACATAGTAAACACATACATAGTAAACACATAGTAAACACATACATAGTAAGCACATACATAGTAAACACATACATAGTAAGCACATACATAGTAAACACATACATAGTAAACACATAGTAAACACATAGTAAACACATACATAGTAAACACATACATAGTAAACACATACATAGTAAGCACATACATAGTAAACACATACATAGTAAACACATACATAGTAAACACATACATAGTAAACACATACATAGTAAGCACATACATAGTAAACACATACATAGTAAGCACATACATAGTAAACACATACATAGTAAACACATAGTAAACACATACATAGTAAACACATAGTAAACACATAGTAAACACATATGATAATCATAATATGCACAAAAAAAACGGAATTCGGAAATCCAAGTTCTTGGAAGATCTGCAGATTTCTTGCTTCACCTCTCCAAGGTGAGGAGAATCCCAGCTCAATGGCACATTTGCAGCTTGGTCTTAGTTTATCATTTTCATAACTCGTTAATTCAAGCAATGTATATATATACAGTATATATAATGTCAACCCTGGATTAATAACCCCCTAGGCTGTTTAATTGGGAGGTTACCATTTAAGTATCAGATAATGTCTAATGGAGGAGTACCCCCCTAATTAATAAACCATGGTTTATTAATCCGGGGTTGACATTATATATGATAGTTATATGCTAGTTGTATATATGATAATTATTATATGATAGTTGTTATATGATAGTTTTTATATGATAGTTATGTTATATATGATAGTTATATGTTTGAACAACATATTATAACTATTTATCATCCAAACGATCACTTCTCCTTAAATGGTCATTAGTCAGTCCTGCACAAAATCCCTAGAGGCCCTAGCGTTGCCTGGAGGACCTTTTGCTTGAAGGCCACAGGGATCAAATTGCGATGCATCAGCAGCACACAGCACTTGGGCCTTGGTGAATGGGATCAGAGAAAAAGAACGAGAAATCTCACTGGGAATCTGGCGAAATGAGGAAACTTTTCGTTGGTTCACCTTAGTTGATGCTAGTTTATGTTGGTTTTATGTCATTGGATGTTGATGTTCTAATCGCAGAGTTTCTGGTATCCTGCAAAAATCCGTTAGCTTAGTCACACGTTCAATTATCATAGTTCTTCGATGGTTGGCCGATTCGTCCACTAATCAGTTTCTAGTTGAGCTAGAGAACTATAGACCGTTTTAGACGGTTTGCCGTTTTTTTTTCAAAATGGCAGACAGTGAGAAGCCATTGAACAACCAAACATGGGAGGTTCACCAACAAAATACGGCAGCCACGTATTTTATAGTGGTTCCATCAGTTGGGTCCCCGGCGGAAGGGCGTGGCTGGTGGGATCCGCAACAAAGTCCTCGCCGTTTTGGACATGTTTATTTGTTGCTGTTTCGAAGCCAAACAACATCATATTGTACTCAAAAAACATAGCAAGATTTCTGCTGAAAAGCCAAATACAACATGACATACTGATGACATATCAGATATATCATGAGTTGATACAGTCTCCCAAACATTCATTGTTGGTGAACAAAAATCATTGCCCAGCAGCTTCAACTGCTGTGGCATGCCGTGGTCCGGGATGATCTACGTATTGTTGGTCAGCTGTAGATTTGAAACTAGTGTACCCACAAGAGTCATATATTGTCATCATCTCCGCCAAAAATGCCATATACCGTAAACTAACATACTATGGACAATCACAATTTTTGTATGGGTAAATCAATTATATATCAATGGCCATTTTCAATAGCTATGTTTTTTGTTGGCAAACCCGTTTTTCTCCATGTCCTTGTTAAAGACCAATTCTTCTGGTGCTGGGAGAACCATCTTTTCCTCAGTTGCGATGTTTATGGTCCGCTTCAAAGACCGCCAAAGCTGAGCAAAAAAAGTTGCAAGTGAGCAGGATATGTAACCTACAATACTTATCTGGTTGGTGGTTTCAACACCTCTGAAAAATATGAGTTCGTCAGGTGGGATGATTATTCCATTCCCAATTAATATGGAAAGTCATAAAAATCCATGGTTCCAAAGCACCAACCAGTGGTTATATAGTGGTTTATAGTGAGTTTTCCCATTCAAAATGGTGATTTCCATTAAAAATGATGATTTTCCAGTATATTTACTTATCATTATTCACCATATTCTGTCCAGAGTATCCTCAAATCGGTGAAATCCACCACATATAAAAATTTGCCAATGGACTTGGATTTTGATCGTTATCCTGCTACAATCCCATGGTTTTCATGGTTTTCCACGCCAACAAAAACTGCACTTGATGAACTCCAATGATCATTTTAGCTTTCAATTGTATGATTATCAAAATATATTTTCATATATTATTATAGTGTCCAATCATAATTATTAGCTAGGAATCTCCAATTGTATCTGGTTGGTGGTTTCAACCTCTCCGAAAAAAATATGAAAGTCAGTTGGGATGTTTATTCCCAATATATGGAAAGTCCTAAAATTAATGTCCCAAACCACCAACCAGATAGAATCTACTATAATCTAACACTACTTCAACGTTGCTATGGAAAATCATAATTTTAGATTTTTTTAGAGCTAAATATAGGTCAATCCCCCATAAAGGAATGATTCTTCATACTGTGGATGGTTGCGAAATCACCACCAAACGGATGGTTGAAACCGACAAAAAATAGTGTAGTCCCTAACCACCGTTTTTACCCTCTGGTAATTTAACATAACTATGGGAAATCACCAAATTTTTCATGGGAAAATCCACTATTTCTATAGCCATTTTCAATGGCTATGTTAGTTTACCGGAGGGTAACTGCTGCAGGATTTCGCTGGCCCATCCACGGCCACGGTATATCCAGTCATCATCCGGCACCAAGATGCGGATCCCATGGCCGCCATGAGCTGCTGAAAGGCCACCAGTGGAGGAATGGTCTGCTCCTTTGGGGCAACCAAAAACATGCTATGTATAGATGGAAAATCTACGATTCCAATATGGTTATGATATGGTTAATATATGGTTAATATATGTACTAATAGTGATTCATAGTGGTTAATAGTGGTTATTAGTGATTAATACCTGATCTAATGAATAATAGATATCTGGTTGGTGGTACAATGTGCCCATCTTGAAAAATGATGGAGTTCGTCAATGGGAAGGTAAGGATGACATCCCATATATGAAATGGAAAAAAAACATGTTTGAAACCACCAATTTATAGATGGAAAATGGCATTTAATGGACTTTAATGGGATCTATAGATGGGATTCTTATGGGTTTAGCCTCTGGTAATTTGTTAGCTATTGAACATGGCCCATTTATAGTTGATTTCCCTATTAAAGATAATGATTTTCCATAGCTATTTTAGTTTACCAGAGGGTAAACTGAATTTCCCTATTAAAGATATGCATGTTCCATAGCTATGTTAGTTTACCAGAAGGTACACTAATGATGGTGATTTTCCATAGCTATGTTAGTTTACCAGAGAGTAACCCAAATTTCCCTATGAAAGATATGCATGTTCCATAGCTATGTTAGTTTACCAGAAGGTACACTAATGATGGTGATTTTCCATAGCTATGTTAGTTTACCAGAGAGTAACCCAAATTTCCCTATGAAAGGTATGCATGTTCCATAGCTATGTTAGTTTACCAGAAGGTACACTAATGGTGGTGATTTTCCATAGCTATGTTAGTTTACCAGAGAGTAACCCAAATTTCCCTATGAAAGATATGCATGTTCCATAGCTATGTTAGTTTACCAGAAGGTACACTAATGATGGTGATTTTCCATAGCTATGTTAGTTTACCAGAGAGTAACCCAAATTTCCCTATGAAAGATATGCATGGCCCATAGCTATGTTAGTTTACCAGAAGGTACACTAATGATGGTGATTTTCCATAGCTATGTTAGTTTACCAGAGAGTAACCCAAATTTCCCTATGAAAGATATTCATGTTCCATAGCTATGTTAGTTTACCAGAAGGTACACTAATGATGGTGATTTTCCATAGCTATGTTAGTTTACCAGAGAGTAACCCAAATTTCCCTATGAAAGATATTCATGTTCCATAACTATGTTAGTTTACCAGAAGGTACACTAATGATGGTGATTTTCCCTAGCTATGTTAGTTTACCAGAGAGTAACCCAAATTTCCCTATGAAAGATATTCATGTTCCATAGCTATGTTAGTTTACCAGAAGGTACACTAATGATGGTGATTTTCCATAGCTATGTTAGTTTACCAGAGAGTAACCCAAATTTCCCTATGAAAGATATTCATGTTCCATAGCTATGTTAGTTTACCAGAAGGTACACTAATGATGGTGATTTTCCATAGCTATGTTAGTTTACCAGAGGGTAACCCAAATTTTCCCTATGAAAGATATTCATGTTCCATAGCTATGTTAGTTTACCAGAAGGTACACTAATGATGGTGATTTTCCATAGCTATGTTAGTTTACCAGAGAGTAACCCAAATTTCCCTATGAAAGATATTCATGTTCCATAGCTATGTTAGGTTTACCAGAAGGTACACTAATGATGGTGATTTTCCATAGCTATGTTAGTTTACCAGAGAGTAACCCAAATTTCCCTATGAAAGATATTCATGTTCCATAGCTATGTTAGTTTACCAGAAGGTACACTAATGATGGTGATTTTCCATAGCTATGTTAGTTTACCAGAGAGTAACCCAAATTTCCCTATGAAAGATATTCATGTTCCATAGCTATGTTAGTTTACCAGAAGGTACACTAATGATGGTGATTTTCCATAGCTATGTTAGTTTACCAGAGAGTAACCCAAATTTCCCTATGAAAGATATTCATGTTCCATAGCTATGTTAGTTTACCAGAAGGTACACTAATGATGGTGATTTTCCCTAGCTATGTTAGTTTACCAGAGAGTAACCCAAATTTCCCTATGAAAGATATTCATGTTCCATAGCTATGTTAGTTTACCAGAAGGTACACTAATGATGGTGATTTTCCATAGCTATGTTAGTTTACCAGAGAGTAACCCAAATTTCCCTATGAAAGATATGCATGTTCCATAGCTATGTTAGTTTACCAGAAGGTACACTAATGATGGTGATTTTCCATAGCTATGTTAGTTTACCAGAGAGTAACCCAAATTTCCCTATGAAAGATATGCATGTTCCATAGCTATGTTAGTTTACCAGAAGGTACACTAATGATGGTGATTTTCCATAGCTTGTTAGTTTTAACCCATTTCCCTATGCATATAGCTATAGTTTACCAGAGAGTATGTTAGTTTACCAGAGAGTAACCCAAATTTCCCTATGAAAGATATGCATGTTCCATAGCTATGTTAGTTTACCAGAAGGTACACTAATGATGGTGATTTTCCATAGCTATGTTAGTTTACCAGAGAGTAACCCAAATTTCCCTATGAAAGATATGCATGTTCCATAGCTATGTTAGTTTACCAGAAGGTACACTAATGATGGTGATTTTCCATAGCTATGTTAGTTTACCAGAGAGTAACCCAAATTTCCCTATGAAAGGTATGCATGTTCCATAGCTATGTTAGTTTACCAGAAGGTACACTAATGGTGGTGATTTTCCATAGCTATGTTAGTTTACCAGAGAGTAACCCAAATTTCCCTATGAAAGATATGCATGTTCCATAGCTATGTTAGTTTACCAGAAGGTACACTAATGATGGTGATTTTCCATAGCTATGTTAGTTTACCAGAGAGTAACCCAAATTTCCCTATGAAAGATATTCATGTTCCATAGCTATGTTAGTTTACCAGAAGGTACACTAATGATGGTGATTTTCCATAGCTATGTTAGTTTACCAGAGGGTAACCCAAATTTCCCTATGAAAGATATTCATGTTCCATAGCTATGTTAGTTTACCAGAAGGTACACTAATGATGGTGATTTTCCATAGCTATGTTAGTTTACCAGAGAGTAACCCAAATTTCCCTATGAAAGATATTCATGTTCCATAGCTATGTTAGTTTACCAGAAGGTAAACTGATTAAAAAAGACTGTTCCCTTCATCCTCTCGTGGGATTTCTTTCAGTGACAACAATGCAGGAAAAAAACGCTGATTTCGATATAATGTCAGCAAAGATGGGGTGAAATAAGCCTTCCAAGCAACCAACAAGACTCAACAAGTGCGGGTTCAAGACAAACATTGGAGGTAAAATGGGACAATGGAAAACACACATGTAGATTTAATGTAAAGTAACACATCACAAGACATGTACTTAAAGAAACACAAACGGTGATGCGACTAGCAAAGAATCAATGGAATTCAATAACAGAAGAGACATGGGTATCCGACATCCACGGGGATTGAAATGGACAGTAATCACACAAAAGTAATAGTCCAGACATTGACTCTCTATCCATCTTCCTGGTCTAACCATCATCGACTATTTTGCCCATCAGTAAAACACTCAAGTCACCATGAACTCTTTTCAGTTAGATTTCTGTGTATACATAATTATATATATATTTGTATTTATCATATTATTTATGTATGTATGTATATCTATATATATATATATGTACACATACACACATCCACTCTCTTAGCTCCCTACTTCCCTGCTTGGATTCTCTTGCCCTGAGGCAAAGCCAACACAAGGTGAAAGATGTTGAGAAGCATCAGCCCAAACCACTCGCCGGGGCCAGGCTCCTCCAAAGCTGTGATCTGGAACTCCTCTGGCCTGAAAAATTACCCAGTCCCAAAGGTGAGAAAAAACATAGACATAGAAAGAAGTAACATATAAACTCCAAGAAGCAAGAAAAAGTGGTGATATATGGTTAATTGGTTAATTATCGTTCTCAGATCTTTAGTAATTATTGGTTGATATGTATTGAGATGCTTCTCTACATGTTTGTCGAAATTCCAGCCGATGAGGTGCCAAAGGCCAGGTGTCAGGCCGCCAGGCACCTAGATCTTGCTGATGCTACTGGACCTGTGATCCAAAAATAGTCAAAGGCATGACAAACGTTAGATACTCTACAATTAGTAAACGCACATTTTTGCAAATATGTAACCATATAATATGTAATCATCATATGCTTTATGAATATATACACACAAATAATAGTAATAAGATATACATATACATATACGTATACATATACATATACATGTACATATACATATACATATACATATACAGATACATATACTATATTAAATTAAACTATATTATATCAAATCATATTATATTGTTATATTATATACATGTATAAAATTATATATATATATATAAATCAACATACAGTCATTTCTGACCACAACGATGTAACATGATCATGTTATTTCTCTAGTTCTGTCCACAACTCACCAACAGCATCCACCACAACTCACCGAGGGGCGCCAGAAATCGCGATTTCAGAGCACCAAGATCATTCTCCAAATCCAACCTCGGCTTTCGCATGGGCAAAAAAAAGGACTTGTAGGATTGTAGAACTTAGTTCAGGAATCCTCAGAGGTCACAATATTTAAACCCCTACTTAAAAATAAATAAATAATAAAAATATATATATATATACATATATTTGGAGGATTTAAAAGATTGTATAGCTTAAGTATTCTTGGATTTTCTTGGATCATGTTTTTTGTTCATCCCATCACAACTTCGGATCGATATGAAAGTGCCAAGCACATCATCTTTTCCTCGATCATTTAGATCCATCCCCCCGGAAAAATTGTCGGCTAGTACACAAAAACATTGCACATGTAGATTGATGGGATGTGATAGACCCCGATACTTTGTCATCTTTGTCATCCCAGTTCTATGCAACATCCCACAGCACGGCTGTAAGGCCACTGGTGCCGTTGATCTTCTTGCAGCTTTTCGTTGGCCAAGAAGAGCAGTTGCATCAGCAAGGTGCCGTGCCATAGGCCTTTTCGAAGGGGTGGCTTGGTGGGTCACCAAGAGGTGTGATGTACCCAAAACTATGAAATCATTTTTTGCTTATGGAAAAACATCTCTAAACCAATGGATATAATGAATATGGATGATATCTATAGTTGGATGGCGTTACAAACCAGTAACACCACCTTTTCCAATGTTTTTCACGGGATCATCATGATTCATACAGGTGGCTCATTGATCATATGTGCAGCTGTCAAAACTCCTTGTTCCATCGAAAAGGACATCGACATATTTTGATATATTTTGAAGGTCCCATGGCGTGGCAGCCACAGTTTAATATAAACGTAGCATTTGTTTACCATCATTGTACCATTTTTTCTGGCTTTGTCTCGAGATACGCTCACCTCAAAGCCAATGGCTGAGCCGGGATACCAAACTTGGACAAAACAATGGCTGCAGTTTTTTCCAGCTTTGCGTCGAAAGCAGCCATAAAGAATTCACTGCAAAAGTAGATCAATGGGAAACTCACATTGCAGTGGTGCTGAACATTTTCAGCGATCTGTGCTACAATTCACCCTGAAAAGAGATGGCACTTCATTTTGCCATGAATCACCATCTGATACGCTTCAATTCCCAAGTATCCGCAATTATGATTACCTCATTTTTATCAGCATCAAACGCGGAACCCGCTTGGTGTAGGTACATGAGGGGACCAAAAGATCATCACAGGAGATCCCAGCTAGGTGTTCCAAAAAAATCAAGACACCAAGCAGCTTCTGTTGGACCGGTGAAGCGAAACAAGGTTGCAACCAAGACCCCAGGTACCAGAGGAAAGAAAAGGAATCTTTGGTAAATACAGAGGTAGTAAAACTATCAATTTCCACAACGTAATGGCAATCATTTGCCTAGGTGGGATTGATACCTGAAAATCATCAAAAACAAAAGTCATCCACCGGTTGATCATCATTTGTCCCATCAAACAAACCAAATAAACACCTAAATGATTATTGGTTATATAATATATACATATTATAATATATATATATATGTAATATATATATATGTAATATATATATGTAATATATATATATGTAATATATATATATGTAATATATATATGTAATATATTCCGGTATATACCAATAAAATATATATAATAAAATATCATTTATATAAGTATCCACAATACCAAACACAATAGCACATGAATAAAGAAATATAATATATGTGCTCCATTTTAAGGTTCACTGGATTGGTCTAATCTAAGGGCAAATGTACAGGAGATTCTCGCTTCAACCTACCCTTTGTGAAAGGTACGCCAAAGAACAATGGGGTTTCCAAACATGGGGGATTTCCAAGTCACCCTGTGTTTTAATACAAAAAAAACACTAAAAAATAGAGGTGTCCTAAAATGGATCCCCAAGTCACCTTGTGTTTTAGGACAAACAAAACCTCGAATGACTTGGATGACTGGGGGTACCATGACTTCGGAAACCATTTGTCGCTGCCTGGATCTTCCAAGGTGTGTCTGGTGGAGAGCATCCGCGCACGTTCGTTGAGGAACAGCCGGATGGATGGCCTTGTTGAAAGCGGTGATGTTGGGTAACCGTTGGGTTGACACATGTAGACACCAAACGGTAAGAGAATATGTAGAATGTGGGGGAAAAAAGCCATAAACCCCCCATGACTGGGAATGGTAACCATACCACCTATCAAAAATTTGTTTTGGGGGATGCTTTACTATTGTTTTACCCACATTATATAATATATTGATGATACGTAATATAGCAATGTACTCTCTGGTAAATTGACGACAAAGCTATGCAAAATCACCATTTATCATTCTCCATTTTCCGTAGATAAATCAATGCAAATCATCGAACTGTGCAATGTTACACAGCAGTTTTCCTTACTGCAGGGCAGTTTCATCCTTGGGTGATGGCTCAAGACCCAGGAGTAGCCATGAAGCCACCAGAACCGGTGATCCAATTTCCACGGGTCGATCTTACCAATTAATGGACGAAAAGCGGGCAACATTCAGATTTTTTATCGTGTTGTTTATTGAACATGTTAATCTATAGAATATCTGTAGATATGATATAATAATGCAAAGTATGGCAAAAATGGTGTATCACGATGTATCTCAAACCTGTGTGGTGCGCCATCCCAGACATGACATGACGTGCACGGCCTGGCCCCTGATAACTTTTGGGCAGGTCACACCACAGCCTTCTTCAAGATGAAAGCTTGTGGAAGCTCAGAAACCAACAACTCCAAGAGGATCCCTAAGCTGCAGCTGGGTGGAGATTGGGATTTTTAGGAGCTCCCGAGATTCGGAGAAGTCTGTAGAATCAAAAATCAGAATCATAAAAAAGTTGAAAGATGGTTCACTGTCGACATAGTATGTCGAACCATGAGATTCAAGGTGTGCCCTTTTGCCGCCGTGGACTTGCTGGTACAGTGATAAAACGAAGAGATGTTCTATAGATATTGATATGACTCGGTGCATCAGGATATCAGATCTCTCAAAAAACATTTGGGCCAATCCATTGACATGTATGTTTCACCTCCCATTCACCTCCCAGTTATCCCAGCAGGCATAGGTTGCATTGCCGCCCCGAGAGAAAAACCAATTGCGAAACGAAGAACAATGATGGTACGTCCACGGCCGCGATCCTTTCTTTTTGCTTAAAATTCCATGTTAGATGGAATCATGTTAAATCATGTTAAATCATGTTAAATCATGTTAAATCATGTTAAATCATGTTAAATCATGTTAAATACATTTAAATCCCATGTTCGGAACATGTTGGGAAAGACATGGAAACATGTTGATCCATTTTGGCTGGTTGAAACCGTTGAAACCGTTGAAACCCACCATCTTCTCTCACCCTCGCCAAAAAACGCCGCTCAGCTGGCTTCATGAGGGCCACCAACAAGGTCAGTGGCGAGAGGACGGCATGGCGACGATTTTGAACCTGGCGTCAGCTTCAGCGATTCCCGGCCTGGTAAACGTTTACAGTTTACGAACTTGAAAATGGCCATTGATAGTGGATTTACCTATCAATAATGGTGGTTTTCCTTATGTGACAGTTTACCAGAGGGTATTTTACCAAGAAACATGATACATTTGGAATACATTTGGCAGCAAATGGTAGATTTTCTCTGAGGTTTAACAAAATCTACGAGCAAGACTCATATTGGATCGCAATACAAAAGGTCAGCCGGGAAAGCGACAGACAAAGCATGGTCAAATCAACGATTCAAATGGATGATACAACCAAGACATGGACTTCAACTACGTACTACTAACGCAGTCGACGGTGCCAAAATGCAATGGTTCAAAATGAGGATATTGATACACCAATGTCATAAACTCAAGAATAAACCATCAACAATATCAGAAATGGGTACCCCCAAATCATCCGTTTCAATGAGATTTTCGACTATCAACCATCCAGCTATTGGGGTACACTCATGACTATGGAAACCCCCACATAGCTATTTGAACCTTCATTCTCGACTATAAACCCCATTAACTAGTTCTATGGTTATCATGAACCATAGTTATTGGAGTTAATTGCACCAACTTAGCTATCTAGTTGGTAATTATTGGTACCTATGAGACACTGTAAATAGTGGGATTATAGCGGGATAAACCACCTACCAGCTGGTGCACGATTTTTTGCATCCACAGTAGCTATTTGAACCTTCAAGAGCTGCGCCGAGGCACAAATTTGGTATTGCGCAACTGGGGCAGCATGAGGTAAATCCTCAGTTCATAGTTGTAAGCCCCGGATGACAACCTTGAAATATGATTCCTTAAAAGAAAATGTGATCATCACCATTGGATAACATTATATATATGTGTGTGTGTGTCACCAGTATGTGTGTATATGCATATATATATATATTATATATACATGATCTTTTGCATGCATAAAACTAGTAATACGAATTGGTAATAATAGCAACATTACTAGTACGACTACTGTAATAACTACTAACCATAAACAACAATAGAACTAAAAATGCGAATCATAGAAATTAATAGATTAGCACAAATAATGTAATTGTAGCAATTAAAACTAGTGACTAATAAAAAAAATACTACACTATAGTAATAAGAACACGTTCAATAAATACACGTACTTTGTTTCAAAACACTAGACATCATTTCATCACCCATCATAACCTAAAACCTTACCCCCCCAAACTCCAGCCCTAACATCTACCCCGCACCACCTCCAAGCCTCAAACCTAAAGGTTCACAACACAATGTAAAGGGTTCTTGAAGGGCGGTATTTCAGAGTTACTTAGTTACCAATATATTACCTATATATATATATGATTAGATTAGATTAGGGATTTGATTGGATTTTGATTATTAATAGATTAGATCAATAACAAGTGATTACTATATTTGATTATACTAATCTAATATTGAATATTATATATTATGAGGTTTCCTTGATTAGGGCGACCCCCAAAACATCCATTGCAAATATTGTCATGGGCTTTTCCAATACAGAGCCAATCAAACCATTCAGCTATTGGGATACCCCCATGACTATGAAAACACCCATATATATATATTATACATTCTATATCACTGACTTATTTAACTTAATTATCTTAATCTAATACATAATATATATAATATGTATTCATATATCATATAAATATCATAAGATACAGTGGATGAAGGAAATCCTGCATCACCAACCGGATGGTTGCAACCCGAAGTAAATAATGGGATGTTTACCATCTATCAGCTGGTGCTGTATTGATGTCGTACATTTGAGCGTAACCAAGCCACAGAATTCCGCGGAGCTGCTCCCCACTGAGCTGCGTGAGCTGCGAGCCGCCGCCAAGGGCCTTGGCGGATGTGATATTCATGGGAGAAGGGGGATACAAGGTGGTGCCCCTGAGATAGCTAACTTGGTTCATAACTCCAATAACTATAGGACTTATGGTAAATATATCTATAGCTATAGTTAATGGGTTAATAACTAGGACTTATGGTAAATATATCGAACTACCGTAGTTCATGGGTTTACCAACCATAACTGACAGGGGCATCACATCGTAGTATCCCCATGAAAATATCCCATCATTCCAGGTCGTAGGTTGATAGAATTTACCCCAAATAAGCGTGAGTTTGGTGAATTACTATAGTATTCCAGCTTCACTTCAACTTCAATTCAGTGATCTTTTGTTCGGGCGATCTCGCGCAAGCGAAATGATCCAGGAAACAACTCTGAAAGTGGTAGGTTGAGTGGCCAAAAACCTCGGGGATTGTGGGCTATAGATATATAGTTGGGGCATAGTTGGGGTAGCAGTGGTTCGTGAAGGTTCGCAAGGGCCACAATACCAAAACAGCGCTGGTCCCTGTTTGGCATGTCATGGCCATGGACATTGCTACGGGTCAAGCTTGGGTATGCCAAATTGGCGGTTCCGTCGCTCTGGCATTTTGGCATATGTTGACCCAAATTCCCATTTTGGTTGCTTTTGACCCCAAACTCAAAGCTTTGGATGCTTAACTTAGGTATTCCACGTCTAGTGATTAAATTCTTATATCGCTGGTGCCAAGCATCCCAGGCTTCGAGGAATGTCAAAGTGTCATTGTAGAACTCACCAAGTGTCTTATATATTTTTCGGTTCCACACTTTGGGTTTGCCACTGAGGTGCAGTACCCAACTACATCGTTCACGACATCTGTTTCGTCCATGCCCCATGAAAAATTCTCATATAAAAAATATGTATATATTATATAATATATATATATAATTTGGTAGGCAAATCCCACATGATTTGACAAACCGTTATTTGTTTCCAATCTACAGTAAATTATCCCTCTCTGACAGCGCACAAATCCCTGTGCTGGAAAAGCAGCCGACCAGCTTCTGTGAGCTGTTCCCCAATAATTATAAATTATCTCAACTACAACAGTATGATCCCATATTATCACCTAGTGCTCACATCTTTTCATGGTAACTCAGCATTTTTGATACACCGCCACTCCCGCCTCCAAAAACTCCTTGATTCCCGCTTCGGCCGCATCAAGCACCTAGGAAGCCACGATTTAAGCGGTAGATATCGGTGAAAATGATGGGATATGGGATTTGTGTGGGATAATCCAGAAAAAATCAGGTCGAACCTACGTTTATCTTTGGAGAAAATGATGTGCAACAGATCAACCAATCAAGAATGACCATGCGATGGTCAACATCGAGCATTAAAGGAGGCAATTCTGCAGGTCTAAACAGTTCCCACACAACTCTATGCGTTGTTCATAAATCCTCCCATGACAAAGAAAGACTGCAAAACAATGACCATAGTCATGTTCAAGGTTCAAACTGCCCTAAGCATTGACATCTGTACAACGAGAAACAGGTCTAAAACTCAGGTGCGCAACTTAAAGCAAAAGTCAACAACTGGGGCCAGAGCCTCTCTAAAATCGAACAGCACAAGGATTTTCAGATTGTTTCTCCAAAATTGAAGGTGGAAACCATAGTCAAGCGTGCAACCCTCCTATACAAATCAGCCCCTCAGTCTGATGGAAATAATTGACCCCTCAAAAATGGATTGAGTTGCTGATCCAAAATCATTGAAAATGTGTGAATTAGGTTCAACTTATACATCCACAAAAATGGATGGCTCAACAATATATTAGATGTTCCTTAAACGAAACCATGGTGTAGTGTTGAAAATCTGCATGATTTTGAGGCCCAACTATTGGAAGCAATTCGTCTCCTACTGATTTTTATTCATATTAATTATTTCATATTGGCTAATTGTCACTTCATTGTGGAAAAATATGCATATTCATTAAGTCATAGTTTCAGCGGGATAAATCATCCTGTTTTCTGGGACCAAATCATATTTTATCTAAGCACGGGCATACAGAAATATTTTTTGCTGGGTCACATCCCCATGTTTAGCTTTAAAAAAATGATTTTAACACACACACACACATATATATATATATACGGCAAATGCCTGGGCTTTGCCCAGAACCGCAACCACGACAGGCAACGCATCATCATCATCATCATCATCATCAAACCGTTATTGAAGATCTTCAATGAAGGTAGAAGTTTAACAAGGGTTGGAGAATTAAACCCTTATTGAATACCTTCAAGGAATGTAGAAGTTCAACGGGGGTGGGAGAAGTAAACCCTTATCGGAGATATTCAATGAATGTAGACGCTTAACAGGGGTTGGAGAATTAAACCCTTATTGAAGATCTTCAATGAATGTAGAAGTTTAACAAGGGTTGGAGAATTAAACCCTTATTGAATACCTTCAATGAATGTAGAAGTTCAACGGGGGTGAGAGCAGCAAACCCTTATCGAAGATATTCAATGAATGTAGACGCTTAACAGGGGTTGGAGAATTAAACCCTTATTGAAAATCTTCAATGAATGGAGAAGTTTAACAAGGGTTGGAGAATTAAACCCTTATTGAATACCTTCAATGAATGTAGAAGTTCAACGGGGGTGGGAGAAGTAAACCCTTATCGAAGATATTCAATGAATGTAGACGTTTAACAGGGGTTGGAGAATTAAATCCTTATGGACGATCTTCAATGAATGTAGAAGTTTAACGGGGGTGGAAGGATTAAACCCTTATTGAATACCTTCAAGGAATGTAGAAGTTCAACGGGGGTGGGAGAAGTAAACCCTTATCGGAGATATTCAATGAATGTAGACGCTTAACAGGGGTTGGAGAATTAAACCCTTATTGAAGATCTTCAATGAAGGTAGAAGTTTAACAAGGGTTGGAGAATTAAACCCTTATTGAATACCTTTAATGAATGTAGAAGTTCAACGGGGGTTGGAGAAGTAAACCCTTATCGGAGATATTCAATGAATGTAGACGCTTAACAGGGGTTGGAGAATTAAACCCTTATTGAAGATCTTCAATGAAGGTAGAAGTTTAACAAGGGTTGGAGAATTAAACCCTTATTGAATACCTTTAATGAATGTAGAAGTTCAACGGGGGTTGGAGAAGTAAACCCTTATCGAAGATAGTCCATGAATGTAGACGTTTAACAGGGGTTGGAGAATGAAACCCTTATTGAAGATCTTCAATGACTGTAGAAGATTAACAAGGGTTGGAGAATTAGACCCTTGTTGAGTACCTTCAATGAATGTAGAAATTCAACGGGGGTTGGAGAAGTAAACCCTTATCGAAGATATTCAATGAATGTAGACGTTTAACAGGGGTTGGAGAATTCACCCTTATTGAAGATCTTCAATGGATGTAGAAGTTAAACAGGGGTTGGAGAATTAAGCCTTTATTGAATATCCTCAATGAATGCAGAAGTTCAACAGGGGTGGGAGAAGTAAACCCTCATTGAACATCTTCAATGAATGTAGAAGTTCAACGGGGGTGGGAGAAGTCAACCCTTATCCAAGATATTCAATGAATGTAGACGTTTAACAGGGGTTGGAGAATTAAACCCTTATTGAAGATCTTCAATGGGTGTAGAAGTTTAACAGGGGTTGGAGAATTAAACCCTTATTGAAGATCTTCAATGAATGTAGAAGTTTAACGGGGGTCGGAGAATTAAACCCTTATTGACAATCTTCAACGAATGTAAAGTTTATCGGTGGGTGGACTTTAATATGCCCTAACACCTTCGTTGATCTTCCCAAAAGAATGTAGAGTTTAACGGTGGTGGCACTTTAATATGCCCTAATACATTTGTTGATCTTCCCAATTGAATGTAGTTTAACGGGGGTGGGATTTTAATATTCCCTAATACCTTTGTTGATCTTCCCAATGGAATGCAGAGTTGCAACAACATTTGATTGGGAATGAGGACCCTCTACGCTGCAACGCCTGGGCAAAGCCCATGCGTTGTGTGTATATATGTATATATATAAATATGATTATGATTATTTACATGCTAAATCATCTCTACTGGTTGGTGGTATACCTACCCCTCTAAAAAATATGGCTTGGTCAATTGGGATGATGACATTCCCAATCTATGGAAAGTCATAAAAGCCCATGGTTCCTAACCACCAACCAGCATATCATCTCTAGTTCTTAGAGAAAAAATGCAATCACCGGTGACCGTCACCGCCTTTGGCGCCGAAAAACGGCGTGGTGAAGTTCCAGTGGCGCGAAAACGGAGATCAGTTCCAAGGCGCTGTGGAGGGCCTGGCCGATTTTTCCCGATGGGGTCTAAAATGGAGGGAACTTCGGAGAAAAACAGAGGGAAATTCGGGAAAACATGGGAAAATATGGGAGAAACATGTGGTTCAATGGATTAGTTGGGAAAACAACATAGGTATAAGAGTGTCCATCAGGGTTCACTTGGAAAACATATGAACAAATGAACAAATCCACTCTCTTATGGAGGTCAATTTGTGTCAAACACATCTCAAGCAACATGGTTTTAATGCAAGGGTTTAATGTAAGAGTGTCAATCAGGATTCTCTCATGTTCAGCAAATTTTGAAGGTTAGCGAACAACTGATGGGACTTGACATACCAACAGCCCCTCTTCGGCATTGCCGTGGTCAATAGCCAGGGCATGGTGGATAAAACTGACAGCGGTGGGTTTTTTCAGGTGGCTTGGTTGGCACAGAAAAATAGATCAATAGACGAATAGATTTTCAATAAATCAAAACCCATTGAAATACCAGTGCTACCGCACATAGCGTTTGTGGAAGTTTCAAAGATAGGAAACCACTGAGGAGAGGTGAGTTGTTGTGATGCATGAATGGCAGAGCGAAGCCACTGACGGATCGACCTGTGATGGAGGCTCTGAGTCTCGTTCTGTCTGTCTGTCACATCTCTATATGTTTATCTATCCCTCCGACTATCTATCTCGATATCTCTCTATTTATCTATATCTCTCTCTATCTCTCTCTCTATCTTTCTAATCTAATCTAATCTCATCTCATCTAATCTAATCTTATCTAATCCTATCTATCTATGTATCTATCTATCTATCGATCTATCTATCTATCTATCTATCTATCTATCCATCTATCTATCCATCTATCTATCTATCTGTCTATCTATCTATCTATCTCTCTTCTATCTCTCTCTATCTCTCTCTCTCTCTCTCTCTGTATATATATTTATATATATATATCTACCTATCCCTATAATATCTATCTGCCTCTCTATCGATTTTTCTATCTACCTATCTACCTATCTATTTATATGCGTATCTATCTGTCTGTCTGTCTATCTATCCTCTGGCTCTCTATCTCTCTACCTAGCTATCTGGCTGTCATCTACCTGTTTCTCTGTCCATCTATCTCTCTATACCTCTCTATCTCTATCTCTTTTTCTGTCCCTATAATTTTCTCTATCTCTATCTCCATCTCTATCTCTCTATCTCTCTCTCTATCTATCTAACATTGTCTAACTATCTATTTATCTATCTAGCTATCTATCCATCTATCTGAAAGGAAGCGCTTATGCGAGACTTCCTTCAAAAGTGGAAGTTGACAGGTCCAAAACAAAGCAAGTCTACGAGGCTACCTCAGAAAATTGAAGTTCACAGCTCCAAAATGAAGAAATACTGCGAGACTTCCTCGATTCTTGAAATGGAAAGTTGAGTGCAAAGCTGACAGCCTCGTACCAATGGTCAAATCCTTCTACAGTATATATGGTATGATCATTCCACATTGACAATTCTTAAAGCAGGCCATCAAAATCCAAAAAAAGGCTATCCATCCTCCAATACGGGTATCTCATCCAAGTTCTGATTGTAGCTGGCCACATATCATTCTATCCTGCTATTTTCACATGAATCTCCCATGAAAATCCATGTTCTTATGGTTAAATCCAAACAACCAACCATTTGTTCATGATCTTTCCCCAACATTTGACCATGGCACACCTCTTTCCACCGAACCTCGCAATCCAGGTGAGGTCCAGGCATCCCCTGGAAGTGAAAGGAAGCGTTCAGAACCTGCGGTTCGAACACATTCTGAAACAGCCAAACATTGCCGGGGGTTCAGAAGAAAATCCTATCAAACATGTGAAATCATTGTATATATATATATATATTAAGATATTAATTTATACTAATATTATATACTTATAAGTAATGATGGGTGATTTTTGCTTGTCAACAAACAATTTTTGATTTCGAGAGGCGAAAAACATGACAGCATAGGACATCTATCCAATAGGAAAGCATCATGGATAGAAGTTTTAAGCACCAAATTGGGGAATATTTGGAGATATTTGGATATTTGGGGATAAATAATATTAAATAAATATCTGTGGGGATCCAAATGGGTATTTTCACCACATAGCGCACATTATTTATAAGAAAATATTGGGTATTACTTGGTGCAGCACCGTGCAGCTGGGGTTGTTGATGGATTTAACGATGGTGTTTAAACCCCCAGTGGTTGGGATATGATCTCCATAGTTATGGCCATATACCCACTGATGAAGTGGAACTGCACCCGCACGTGGGAAATCTATGCAGAGGCCCAGAGGTCACAGTTCCTATAGGTTTCCACATTTATGGCCCCGTTTACAGATCATGTTCCCATTTAGCACGGGAAACAAATTCATGGATTTCTCATTCCCTGTCGACTTTCGATACCAAACTTTTCTGATTCTTCGCGCATCAAATCCGATAAAACCTTGGCCAGTTCCCATGGCTTTCCCATTCAAAAGCAGTTCCCTTCCATCTTCCCATCATGAAATCTGCCGCAACCCTGGCTGGGATGATGTTAGTGCAGTTTTGGAATGACCACTCTGGCTGTTTTTTTCAAATGTGGTACCCTCCAGCTTTTTTCACATGGCCAATTTCACCATGTTTCAATATGCTTCATCAGTGGGACATTTTCCATAGTCATGTGTTATGAGTAAAAACTTTGGTACCCTAGGTACCTTAAAATAGATAGGTTAATAGGTTCTTATTCCCCAAAAATATGGTAATAATAATTTTTGATCCATCCCCATCTGAAGTTACCAGAGGGTAATGACCAACTAATCAATGGCCATTTCAGGAACCTAAATTGGAGGTACCTACCATATATAAGGCCTATATAAGGCCTATGTAAGGGAATATCCCCACAAAATATGGCCTAAAATATGGTACTAACGCACCTCCAATTTAGGATCCTTTCCCATTGAACTAACCATCGTCCGAGCAGCACAGGGACACCGCAACACCGCACACAGCGAGCGTCCGGTCTCCCGCCATTGCTTCGTGGCAACCGATGCCCTGGCAGCATTTTTTTTGAGGTGCAAGATATCTGATATGGCGATATCGATTATTCATTGGATTAGCTTAAGGGAAATTTTACAGGAAACCATGGTTTTTACCATCAAATATAGGGGTTTCCTGAAAATGTGAATTATATGAATTATATTTACTGTAATTATGTTTCTTGAACATGTGATCACATACTATGTGTATATATAATTTTCACATATATAATCATCACATATATAATTATCACATACGATGTAAATAGATATATAATGTATATATATAATGGGTGAATTGCGAAAAACCACGAACTTGACATACTATTTTGGCATGATTCGCTCTGACCATCTACCATTCCTATAACATTCATTAATCAAGCAGATATATTCCCATAAGACTAATCCTAAATCATTGTTATAATCATCAATCAATCCCAAATATATATATAATCAGATATAAATCATTAATCATCACCAATAATCAATAGGAATTCCATATTGGATAAACATTCATGAAAAACATATAAATAAATATATAAATATAAATATATATATATATATATTTACATATTCTAATCATCATAAATTTGATACATACCGTAGAGTCCCCATGGAATCATACCACATAACCATCCCATGGAATCACCCTGTTCCAAGGCCACTGCAGGCTGCGCGGGCTGCGCGGTAGCACCGCCTGGCCATCTCCAGCAGATCCCCGCAGCTCAGCAGCGAGAAGTTCCGCGAGGCCACGCCCGGCTGCACCTGACAACGCTAGCGCGCAGAGTAAGGGTTAGTAATTGTTAAGAGTTACTTGGTTAGCAATTGGTTAGTGATTTAGCAAGTGTTGACAAATTTCAGGATTAGGAATGGTTAATAGTGGTTAGTAAAGATTAAGAACATGTTAGATCATGCTAGTAGGGGTTAGTATGGGATATAGTACATGTTAGTGATGGATACTAGCGGCTAGTCGTTATATAGTAATGATTAGTTTAATGTTAGTAATGATTAGTGGCATTCAGCATGATCCAGCATGATCCAGCAAAATGGAAAGATCTGCATATCGATGCAGCTGTTTCTATCTCAAAGGAGCCTGGCAAGAACCTGCAGAGTAGTGTAGAATGCAGCCAAAGGATATCAGCCAGAGAAAACTGGAGATGTAAGAAACAAAACTAGGAACCACAACATGAGTGCAAAGGCAATCTTAAATGAGTCATCAACATACTCTGAAATTAAGTCAGAAATCTTAAAGGCAGAATTAAGCTGAACCGTTTCCCTTCACGCAGGCAATAGGGCCAACACACCCACTTGTACTTTACTCAGCTGTACCCCAATTCTTTTACTGTGAGTCCATGTGATAATGTCATCATCTCTTCATTATGTCGCTTCCAGTCCATTTGTTTAGCAGTTTCATCCAAAGTTGATGCTGGTTGGTGGTTTTAACCATGTTGAAACAAATTAGTCAGTTGGGATGATTATTCCCAGTATATGGAAAAATACAAAATGTTCCAAACCACCAACCAGTGATGCATCAAATCCTCGGTAGATTCCGCTGTGACATGTTGCATGGTCTAAAAATACATTGGTTTACCACATTTGAAGGTTTCCTAAAGTAGGGATACCCCCAAATCATCCATTGATAGATGGATTTTCCCTGAAAAAAAAACATACATTTTGGGTACTCCATTTTTGGAACCCCCCATGTATTGCTATCAACATGCCACATCTATGATGACCAACCCCTGCTTCAGCTGCTTGGACCCCAGGCCAGTGGCTTCAGCAACACCACTTCATCGCTTTTCACTGCGTCCTACCAGCAGATTCACCCTGCAGTTTATACCGGTTTACTGCTGACACTTACGGCCATTTATTAGTTATAACTGGTTATAATAAGATTATATATATATATACATTCCATAAATGGAGTTTTGTCAGTACTTATAACTGGTATTTCGGGCCATAACTGTGGTTTACTGCTGAAGGACCGGGATATTGGCCTGGCTGTAAATGTGTCAACCTGCTGGTCATCAACATCAAACCATAAAATTGCATATTTCTCAGACTCCTTGGGCGTAACGCATTGGTAAATAGGGAATTTTCCACCAATTTTGACCAACAGAGAGCAACTTTCGAATCCCAAACTTTCAGATAATTATCTCCTGCTTGATTGTGGTCGACTGCGGTTGACTCTGGTTGATTGCTGTTGATTTCGAACTTTTACTCGGCTTAGGACTTAGGGTGTGTATCAGGGTTTTTCAACAAGATCTGGCGTTTCTGCCAGCAGAAAAGCACACTGTCGAAAGACTTCGAAATACTGAACCAGGAAATCTTTGTGCTATGTCCCCACCATTGGTGTTCTACAAGTACCTGCATCGTGGAAAGCACCCCATTGGTTCGTGCCTCCACCGGGAGCCTGAACTTCACGTAGCCTCAAAGCGGCAGAAAAGGATGACAGTCAATGGATTGAATTAAGAGAAAATCTACAGGAAACAACGGTTTTTACCATGACATATTGGGTTTTCGCAGGGTTTTCCTGCACCATTTGCCATGATCCAGTTCTGGGAGAAATGTGGATGGCAAAACGGAGATATTGATCCAACATACCTGGTGGTACTGTAGATCAACCATAGCACGGGGCCCAAAAGTGGGAATGTACAGAATATTGAGCAAGATGGGTTGGGAAATGCCGGAACTGCATGTATGTTTTTAATGGGATACACCTGTGTAAATGGATGTAAACGGTGGATTTTTTCCATTGCCATGCTTGATTACCAAAGGGATTGATAGATAATTCAACAACTCTGAAAACTGGGTCAATCTTCAGAAGTAGAGAACATCAAACATGTTTGATACTTGAAGCAAGCGTACCGCCCTCCTTCTGTGATCTCATCCCTTTTCTCAGAGAAACTGGTTTATTACATGGTCGTTCATTTTGAGGGTCCTTTTGGGAATAAAATGGTCCGGAGTGGTTGGAAAATTATTTTTCCTCTGGCTGAAATATTGGTATTTCATTTGCTGAACAGCGCCATATCACCTGTCCTCCTGCGAGCTAAAGATCTCTATAGGCTGAAACTATTGTGTAAACATATCATGTCAGCGATGAAAAATACCCCTCCCCCATCCCATTGTACTGGTGGGTTCGTAAATTTTAATATTCAGCATGGATTGTAATAATTCCGAATAAACCAGCTAGTGTTGCCCCCGACAACTTAACCCATCGACAGAAATATGTTTAATGGTGCATGTGAGTTTTTAATATGTTTAGACAATACCTGTTCGATCTTATGCCCATGAGGATGCTGGAGAAACATGGTACACGGCCAAAAATGGGCGTCCTACCATAAAACCGGGAAATCCTTACATGGGCCAATACAGTCCATGTATAGTTCTTGGTACAGCTAGGTTCTATAATCCAGCTTTTGACGCGAAGCTTGTGAGTCAGAGCGACGTCACTGCTACTCATCCCTTGCACTGGCGGGTAAGAGCAACATATGCAAACGAAACACGACGAAAACAAATTGACACTGCAAATGAATTAGCCGTCTGGAACAACACCACGTTCCTTCCGAATCTTCTTCATGAAACTGGCACAATTATTGTGCCGTTGAGCTGGTGTTGGCTCAAAAATCTCAGCAAAATGGATGGTGGGTTGAAGATCTTTCACCCAAATAGGTTGATCAAATGCAATTCCCTTCAAATTATCCGGATAAAATTTGACATACTGCATTGTCGCCATAGGATTTGGCAACTTTGGTCTCCTGCGGATACCAGCGATGACACCTGTCATACCAAGTCTTGTCAGTGTTCTGCATTTGAATGTACCTGAAAAAGGCAACACCTGTTGTTGAAGCAATGTGCCCAGCCTTGTTCCTGTGCATTTAAACTGCAGCTGGTGCAAGTTCGTGCTTTGGGTTCGGTGCGGGCTCTGGCAGCATCTGCTGTTCCTTCTGTTGCTGTTTCTGTCGAAGGGCTGCTGGTGCGATTCATGTGGAGGTGCCTGCTCTGGCAGGTCTGGATGCTGTTTCTGCAATTCTATGTGCTGCTTGTCTTGTTCCTGCGCATTTAAATTGCAATTGCTGCTGGTTCCTGCTTTGGGTTTCGTTCGGGCTCTGGAGAATGAGCAGCATCTGCTGTTGCGTCTGCTGTTCCGTCTGCTGTTCCTTCTGCTGCTGTTTCTGTCGAAGGGCTGCTGATGCAATTTCATGTGGAGGTGCCTGGTCTGCCAGTTCTGGATGGTGCTTCTGCAATTCTATGTGCTGCTTGTCTTGTTCCTGCACATTTAAATTGCAATTGGTGCCGGTTCTTGCTTTGAGTTTCGTTCGGGCCTTGAGGCATGAGCAGCATCTGCCGTTCCTTCTGTTGGTGTTTCTGTTGAGGGGCTGCTGGTGCAGATTCATGTGGAGGTGCCTGCTCTGGCAGGTCTGGATGCTGTTTCTGCAATTCTATTTGCTGCTTGTCTTGTTCCTGCGCATTCAAATTGCAGTTGGTGCCGGTTCCTGCTTTGGGTTTTGGTGCGGGTTTTGGTGTATGAGCAGCATCTGCTGTTGCGTCTGCTGTTGCTTCCTTCTGCTCTTCCTTCTGCTGCTCTTTCTTTTGAAGGGCTGCTGATGCAATTTCATGTGGAGGCGCCTGCTCTGCCAGTTGCGGAAACGGGGGCCGATGGGAAACAAATTCTAACTGCATCACCATTGTATCCGGGTGGCTTTACAATCATTAAAGAAAATATGAGCACATTTTTTCTTACCCTGTCGTTAAGGATCGCCATGCCATTCATGCAAGGCTGCGATCTCTTAAACCCCACAAGCTGCAGCGTCAATACTGTGGTATATATGGATGTTTGGATGGATCTGCTCGTTTTTTCAAAACAATATTCGACACACTGTGAAATTTTGTGTTTGGTATTCAAAACATTTCAACGCATTTCTCATCCATCATACATCGCCTGTCAAATTTATGTATATACATTGGGTGTTTCCCTTAGAAAATGGTGGCACTGATAGATCTTATTAGATATTTCTGTAAATATATATAACTATAATATATATATATATATATATTTTTTTTGGCTTGATTCAAAACATATGAATTCATATATGGTGCCTCACCAGCTGCGGGGTGCGCAGCGCGAGCGCGCGAGCATTTCACATGTGCGCGCGCGAGGCGCGCGAGCAACGACAGGCGCGCGCGCGAGACGCGCGAGCAAATAGAGGCGCGCGCGCGCGAGGTGCGCGAGCAAGGCCAAGACACGCGCGCGTGTTCGCGCGCGCGCCCGTCCGACACGCGCGCGCGCAAATAAGCTCTCCACGCGCGCAAATAAGCTCTCCAAATCGCAAATAAGCTCACCAAATCCACTTTTGGAGAGCTTATTTGCGCGCGCGCGTGTCGGACGGGTGCGCGCGCGAACACGCGCGCGCATGTTGGCTTGCTCGCGCACCTCGCGCGCGCGCGCCTCTATTTGCTCGCGCGTCTCGCGCGCGCGCCTGTCTGTGCTTGCGCACCTCGCGCGCGCATGTGTTAAATGCTCGCGCGCCTGCGCGCGCACGATTTCAACAGGAAATGCTTCATATGTTTTAAAAAATGGCAATATATATTTATATTTATATTTATACTGTAATCAACGTATCACACATGAACATATGCAACACATATACATATAGCAAAACAATTCTATGTGTAAAAGAATTCTATCTGTTAGAAATACGTATAAAACAATTCTAAGCCGCTTTTTTTCTAGCACTTAGAATTCGCAGATATTTGCGAGGCAAAAACCTAAGAAACAAAATCTATCTGCTAGCACCTACTATATATTAATTAATAATCCTTTAGGTTATACTTTATATGAGAATATCATTTTTTATAAAAACCAAAATTTGAAACTCCCAAATAAGTTTGAAACTCCCGAATGCCATGACACTGGCTTAATAGCAACACTGCACATCATGAACCAGATGTCCAGCATATGATTCCAAAATTGAAAACAAGATTGGATAGTCATACAAATTTGAACCTATCCCAGACCAGCGGTCGTTGGGTCTTGGGCCGCCCCAAGCACATCTGAGTTGTCGGCTAGCCCTGAAGGCGCCTGGCGGGCGGACCTGTTGCAAGTCCAAAATGCAAGTTTGTTGGAAGCCCACGCTAGCTTCACATCCATCACGCCCAAGCGCGCCAAGAACCAGGGGTTTCCGTTTACTGTTTTGGCAGCATTTTCTCCCCCGGTTCCAAAATGCAGGAACCGGCTGGCGGTCCGCGTTGAAATTCGGCGCTCAAGAACTGTGATTATAAATAAATGGCCTGCGCGCATTACGCGCTTAAGCGCGTAGCAACTGTGAACGACTGACACTTGACCATCTTACCGCCAACTGACGGACTCTGCTACACTGAAGAAGGATCAAAATGATTGCACAGAGCACCCCGCAATCGTGAAAGAATCTGTGGTATTGCAGCCCGAATCGAAACCTGCCACGTCCAAGCCCGTTGCCTCTGGGGCCAGGGTCAGCAATTCGCCTTCGCCTACCACAGCTGTTGGGTATCTGACCTCACTGCCTGCCGGCCGGCGGGTCACCAATGGGAAAACATGTTTCAACACAAGAGATTTCGTACGATTTAACTGAGCCGGCCGCTGAGGCGTTGCTTTGGGGGGAGACCGGCTCCAGGAACGCGTCTGAGTCAGGGCAAGCGGCTACAGGCCAAGGTTTTTTGTTGCCGCAGAAATTTTCTAGGGCCCTTCATCCGCTGTTGAAAATGATCACAAATCAAATCTCAGTGAAATTCCGAGCATGGGCACACATGGTCACTGCAGGCATATTTTCTGG